ATATATATATATCGCACAGATGGTAATGTTATTGGGAATGTATGTTTTCGGTATCAGCTTGAAGAAAACGCAATGGTATTGTATGTGTTCCTGCGTTTGCTCAGATTTTAACTGCCATATATTGACTGTATATATGCTTGTAAAACAATTGTGGGGGGAATGAATAGCTACATATGGGCCATCTTTTGTCTTGTTGTGCAGTTATCGTTTTTGGTAAGTTATGTCTGGGTAATAGTTCGTTTATCTTTTAAATTTTTGTAGGTGCAAACGAATCGTTCTGTGGAGGCGTGAGGGACATTGCCTGCTTTGCGGTAGCGTGTGGAAGTTTCGTTCATCGTGCACCATACAATTAATGTATTTATTTTAGCCTTGAATTTATTGCTTATTCGTATGACGACATCCACTATCCTGATTACTACGTTCTAAAAGGAGATATTTTCCACCTGCACATGTGTAGACCTCTGTGGCATCTCATATCAAACTAGCGAATAAAGTTTCGATACTTATATCGCTGTATCGTGCGGTCCATATAACATCACTGGTGATTTAAATATGAATACGTTGTGGATCAGTGAACATTCATAGACACATCATTGTACTCATTGTACCCATTGTATCTTCTGTTCGTGATCGCTTATGATTTATAGTCGAAGAACTGGGCTCGAAGGCTGATTGTTTTCTTTCAGTCTAGTGGTCGAAACATATTAGCTGCGCTGCATGCGTTGATATGACCTGTATTGGAATATACCAGATACCCGTTACATGCATCAGCATTATGTATACAACTGTAAAGACACCCCAATTGTACACTGTTCATACAATCACCTTATGAGTACGTAAAAACTAATGCTCCACTTCATACTTGTGTGTGTGTGTTGTGTTTTCCTATTCCATCGTAGATGACCAAGAATTGGTTTACTGGGCGCTGGGGCTGATCCACGAACTCGGAGTGAAAGATGTGGCAAAGCAAGAAATTCAGGAGTACCCGGGAATTCTCAAGATATTCTACAGTGTGCTCATCAACAACGAGCCCAATGTGCAGATCTTCGTGTTGCGCACCTTGGGCTTTCTGGCCATCAAAGATGGTATGAATCGCACAGTCTGTGTTCGTAGATAAATACACTTGTTGTGCCCACACTATTGTAAATACATATTATTACCATTTCAGTTGTAATTTTCGTTGCGAAAGTGCGGAATTTCGCGACTCTTTCTAAAGAATTCGTGTGTACGCGTCTGTATATATATATTTATATGTGTTTTGATTCTGTTTGCATCTGTATTTATACATAAACCCGTGTTTGTTTTCATTTTGTACATGTAGTATAGGATTGTGGATTTGTTTATACTTACGTCCAGATGTTTGTACACATATCCGCCTTATAAATATGGTTGGCTCTACCTGGTCTGTTGTATATCTGACTGGAAATATGTCAGCGTCTTGAAAAAAAGTGTATGAATTACATGCCCTTACATTGTATCTGAGATTAATTTTTTTTTAAGTTGAAAACTCCCTTTTGTAAAATAATGGAGTAGTACAATCATAGCTTTGTGGTGTATTTATGTGTTCGTCACGGCGCTTGTGCTATTTAGGCCCTTCGAAACTATGAATATGTGCTTTAGGGTGTATGTGAGAAATGGGGGTTGGACTACTTTTGCGCACACAGTTGTGATTCAACCTGTTCGTCAACGCCACTGTACAAGTGTGTTATGCACATACGAATACATATGCCGAGATTTAAGTACCATGTGTACTACACTGCTCATATAGCACTGCTCCTCATTGCACTCATGTTTTTCACTTCGCCTCAGTCTAGATATTCTAAGCCCTCCCTCTAGCAAGTATATACGAATGAACTGCGTCTCGCCCATTTACATGCATAAAGTTTTAGTTAAAAGAAGTTACTTTGCCTTCAAATGTACTCTATGCGCCTACAGATGATTTCAAGGAAAGAATTCTGGCATCACCGATACCGGAGCATCTCTTAGTCAATCTCAGCTCCAGCATGGCCGATGCTGTGTACTGGGCTGTGGTTATAATCCATGACTTGGCAATGTGCGGTATGCCTGTCTCTCACAATGTAGAAATATGTATATGTATATATATATGTATATATATATATATATATATATATATATATATA